CCACCTTGTGGTGAACCAGTGCTGAGGCTGAGAGCACGGATGTGTGTGGGCCCACTCTCACCCTCTGGCTGCATCCAGACAGGAAGCTCTTTACCCATATGCAGGTGAAATATGGAATTCCCAGGTCCACCAGCTTGTCCACCAGTTTGTAGGGGAGGATGGTGTTGAATGCAGAGCTATAATCCACAAAGAGCAGCAGTACATAGCTCTCCTGATGCTCCAAGTGGGACAGCACAGCATGGAGGGCTGTGGCTACGGCATCCTCTGTGGATCTATTTGCCCTGTATGCAAACTGGTGTGGGTCAGATGTTGGTGGGAGGAATGACATAATGTGTCCCCGTATCAGTTTCTCAAAACACTTCATCACCACTGGAGTGAGTGCAACTGGCCAGTAGTCATTGAGGCTGGTTATGTGGGGTTTCTTAGGCAGGGGAACTAGGATGGAGGACTTCAGGCAGGGTGGAACAGCGGACTGGGCCAGAGACGAGTTGATGATCCTGGTGAAGACACCAGCCAGCTGGTCCATGCAGTCCTTCAGATGGGGATGCCATCCGGTCCAGCAGCCTTCCTTGGGTTTATAGCCCACAGCGTGTGCCTCACCGCATGCTTCCCTACTGTGAGGGTGGGGCCGCTGTGGGCCGCAGGGTACAGTTAGGCTGTATCTGGTTGCTGCCCCTCAAAGCAGGGAAAAAAGAGGTTCAGCTCCTCTGCCAGTGAGGCATCCCCTTCAGCCGCACCGAGATTATTCCTGTGGTTGGTAAGATGCTGGACTCCCTGCCACACCTGCCTGCTGTTGTTGCTGTCCAGATGGTCTTCGATCCTCCTCCTGTAGTCCAGTTTGGCCTTTCTGATGCTTCTCTTCAGGTTAGCTTGGACCACGCTATAGAGAGCCCTGTCACCTGTCCTGAAAGCAGTGTTCCTCTCTCTCAGTAGTTGCTTGATCTCCCAGTTCATCCAGGGATTCTGGTTGGGGTAGACCCTGATGCGTTTGTCCATGGTAACAGTGTCTATGCAATTCTTAATACAACACAGGACAGTGTATGTGAACACCTCCAGGTCTGGATGTTCAAAGACGTCCCAGTTGGTCCTATCAAAACAGTCCTGTAGTGCTGAGAGGCACCATCAGGCCAAGTTTTTACAGTCCTTGTGATGGTAGGAGCAGTTTTCCTTAGGGGGCGTATGCAGGAATTAGAAACAGGGAGGAGTGGTCAGACTGGCCCAGGTGTGTTACCTCAAACAGCAGACAAACATAGTTAGAGACCAGCTCATTAACATAGTGGAACATTTATCAGTTTAAGAGGCAGGTATTTCTCTCTGGAGTTGAAAGAGAACAAAAACAGAGCTAAAATAGAGAATATTGGATATAAACAAAACTCCAAAATGTTTGCTTGGCTTGCTGCCCTGTCCACTTAAAAAAAAACACAACAAAAAAACAAATCTATTAATACAGTTAAAAGTATTAGTTGTGGTACTAATATTAGTAAAGGTTTCAGTAGTAGTAGTGAAAGCACTGGTAGCTGTAAGAGAGGTGGTGTTTGCTGTATAGAATATCTAACAGTATTAGTACTTGTGCAGCACTGCTGCTACTACTGTAACACCTTCTTACTATTACTGCCAATACCACTAATATTAATAGTAACATTTTTACCATTACAGTATTTTTACCATTACAACATTTCCACCCCTAATACCACTATACTGCTATAACTACTGCTCTAAGCAGTGATGGGTGGATGAAACTTATAAAATCTTTGGGCTGTTTTTCCATTTGTGACCAAAACAGATTAGAAGCTTCAGGACCTCAGACAAAACAACAGTGACATCTAGTGGCTTGCAACATTTATACCAGCGCTTCAAGACTGGGATCAAATCAAATCAAATTTTATTTGTATAGCACCAAATCACAACAAAAGTCATCTCAGGATACTTTACAAAGTAAGGTCTAAACCTTACTGTTATCACTATTATTACATAGGGAAAACCCAACAAATCCCTCTTGAGCAAGCACTTGGTGACAGTGGGGAGGAAAAACTCTCTTTAAGAAAGGTACAGGGAGAGAGAGAGGACACACTACGGGAGGGAGGAGACACAAAGTTAGTAATGTGTAATGGTGGCATATAGAAGCATAAGGAGAGAGAGGAGAGGAGAGTAGAGCAGAGCAGGAGGGGAGGGGAAAGAAACTCAGAGCATCATGGGGCCCCCCAGCAGCCTAGGCCTATAGCAGCATAACTAAGGGAGGGCTCAGGGTCACCTGATCCAGCCCTAACTATAAGCTTTATCAAAAAGGAACGTCTTAAGTCTAATCTTAAAGGTAGAGAGGGTGTCCGCCTCCTGAACTGAGACTGGGAGTTGGTTCCATAGGAGAGGAGCTTGATAGCTAAAGGCTCTGCCTCCCATTCTGCTTCTGTGGACTCTAGGAACCACAAGTAAACCTGCACTCTGAGAGCGAAGTGCTTTGTTAGGATGATAAGGCTCTACGAGGTCTTTAAGATATGATGGAGCCTTGTCATTAAGGGCTTTGTATGTTAGGAGAAGGATTTTAAATTCTATTCTGAATTTTACAGGGAGCCAGTGGAGAGAAGCTAATATGGGAGAGATATGATCTCTCTTGCTAGTTCCTGTCAGTACTCTGGCTGCAGCATTTTGGATTAGCTGGAGGCTTTTTAGGGAATTATTGGGACATCCTGATAGTAAAGAGTTACAGTAGTCCAGCCTGGAAGTAACAAATGCATGGACCAGTTTTTCAGCATCACTTTGAGACAGGATGCTCCTGATTTTTGTAATATTGCGCAGGTGAAAGAAGGCAGATCTAGAGACTTGGTTTATGTGTGATTTAAAGGACATATTCTGATCAAAGATGACTCACAGGTTCCTCACAGTAGTACTGGAGGCAAGGGCTATGTCATCTAGAGTAACTATATGATTAGACAGCAGATTTCTAAGGTTTTCAGGCCCAAGCACAATGACTTCAGTTTTGTCAGAGTTTAGAAGTAAGAAGTTGCAGGTCATCCAGGCCTTTATGTCTTTAAGTCATGCTTGAAGTTTGACCAGCTGATCTGATTCATTTGGCTTCATAGATAAATATAACTGAGAATCATTTGCATAGCAATGGAAATTTATGTTGTGCTTCCTGATAATATTGCCTAAAGGGAGCATGTATAAAGTGAAGAGAATTGGACCTAACACAGAGCCCTGTGGAACGCCGTGACTAACTTCAGTTTGTGTGGAACATTCGTCATTAACATGAACAAATTGAAATCTTTCTGATAAATAAGATTTGAACCAACTTAGCGCAGTTCCTTTAATCCCAATAACATGTTCAAGTCTCTGCAGTAAGATGCTGTGATCAGTGGTGTCAAAAGCAGCACTGAGATCTAAGAGGACAAGTATGGAGATCACTATAACACCTCACTGATTGTGAATGTTTTAGTCTTGTATGTGGAAGAAGGCTGCAGGTTATTATTAAGTGTGTAGATGGATAGATAGATGCTTTATTAATGCTGAAATTTAGGTATCCAGTAGCACAACAACCATACATGCACGTGGTAGTGCAAAATAATGCTTTTGTTAAGAATTAGTGCATTAAAAGTAGATGTTATGATGCAATATGTGACAGTAAAATAATGAATAAATAATGTGTCCAAAAAGGCTAGACAGAAATATTGTTGTTGACACTAAATATCATTGTATCTTATTAGTGTAGTTAAGGCCCAATGTCACTGATGTGCTTTAATGCCATAATATGTAACCTTTTAGTGGTTAAGTTATATGACTGAATAATGATAGTAATTAAATTAACCTATGACATTATTACCTGGTACCAGGTGGAAATTCTCTCAATATTATGTACATCACCATATTCCTCTCTTATTCTCCTTTCTTCTTATGACATAATGTGCCTATATGACATAGTTTATCTGCAGAACTTTCCAAACTGCCCCCCCCCCAACATTAAAATTATATGCAAACAACAATATAACCTAAATATTGTGTCCATAGGAACGTTTGAGGCGACTCAACCACAATGTGGCCAAGGAGACAGCACGAAGAAAGACCATGCTGGAGGCTTCAGGAGTGTTCACGTCCCGCTCCCCCAGTAAACCCTGAGCCTCCCCCTGCTCTGCCTACCAAGCACTGTGAACTGTCCTGACCAGTAGGGCCATGTCAGTAACATGAAGAGGACAGGTCTTCCTTTGACATTTACTTATCTTTTGGTTTAATGACATACTGAGGTCCTGCACTGATTTTTATTTATTTTTTGTCATAATAAAGTCCCAGCTACTATCTGCTTAGCATTCTGCAGTGGGAAAGGGGTTCTTGTCTTATTTGCTGACAAAATATGACATTCAGCTGTACATTGTCTCCAAATTGTACATTTTATATTACACATGAAGCCACTAAAAGGTCATGCCATCCACATTTGTTTTAGCTTCTGTCTTCTGATCAAGCAAATAAGTGTTCCTGAATATTGAGGGGCATTTATGTATTCATATACATTGTTCTTCAATTGATTTTACAGATTAAAAATATACTTTTACCCATGAGCAAACTGTATTGTCATTAAGCATGCAGGATAGATGATGATACTTGACTTGAGTGACAAATCCTTGTTTTGCTGCTGGTCCTTCTGCCTTCTTCTGCTCTCAGACTATAGGAGAGGGTTGTTTTCAGACAAGGTTTGACTTCAGAAATGTCCCTTTAAATTAAGTCATACAGACATGTTCCACTTGTCTGTGGTTCTGCTCTGCTGACAAAAATGTGTGGTATCAAACACAGAGCATAATGTTATTTAATAAGTTTAATATTAGATGATGAAAATGAAACTTACTGTGTAGGACGTCATATCTCCATGAGTATGCAACATAATAATGCCTACAATGATTTTTTGTTTTATATTAACATCACAGTCTCATCTTTGAATGTGGTCTAAAAATTTCATGGCTGGCTTCATTTTATCTTTGCGGTGTTACTTTTGTTTGTGTAATTCAGGGCTAATTTGAAGAAAGATAGATATAACCTTATTACAGTTTAAAACAATTTTTTGTTTCTCCAGGAGTTTACTTAAAACAAGTGCCGCATTTAATCCCAAGTAAATTCCTTATTCAAATCACATGATTTTTCTATGTTCACCTGACCTACCATGAGAGTTTAGCCTACCCCAGTATAGGAAGTAGCCAACCAGAGGAAGGCAATATCTACTTAACCCATAGTTATTACCAGTTTTCAGGAGATGATGAAATTATTAGAAAATCATTAGGAAATAACAGACAATAGAGTAAAGAGATACATCTTGCCATTATGAGACATGCATTGGCTGCAGGTTTTAACTTGTTTGAAATGATCATTAAAATATTCTCTCAGAGGACCATCCACATTTCATTAGTCCTGTCCAATGAAATATTTAGTGACGGTAGCACTAGAAGAAAGGGCCCAGCAAATCAGTGCAGCAAAGGATATGATAAGCTCTGTAGTAGCCAAGTAATTCCGACCAGAAAAGAGGCGTGTTGCTCATGCAACAGTTGCAGTTCTTTTGTTTGCGCATGTGTGTGCTCGTGCGCGCACACTGGGGGCGTGCTAATCTCAGCGGCGCCACCTAAAAAAAAAAAACAAGTCTCCCGGGCCTGTCAATCTACACGAACCAGACAGACCCTGGCTCGCAGCCCTGCTGTGAGAGCCGTTTCGTGGTTGGCTAAGGGCGGTAGTCCCTGTGAGACCTGACCGCCTATTGGCTGCATCATGTCGAGACACTGACGCACGCGACGTCTCTCCTCTATTGTGGCGTGCACGTAAGGAACGGGCAGGATGCACGAGTAGGCAGTAGGGTTGATATAAGGATAAAATAACAGAGAGACCCCAAGGTAACGCAGTACAACATATTAGAAAAGAACATTAGCTTATTACATTATAAGGATTCAAAGAAACATTGGGCCCGTGAACAAGGCAGAGGTCTGATACAAAGGACTGTAAACAAACAGCTGCTGTGGTCAGCACGTAACGTTAGAACGCGCGGAGATATCTGAGCACAACACGCCAGGCAACTGTCTGATAGCTGAGCGAAATTTCTGTCCAAAGTTCTTCTCTCCACTCCGGCTTATGTGTAAGTAGAAACCATTTATCTTAGTCTTTCTTTCTCCTGATCTCTCCAGTATCGTCAATCACACCAAATATCCGAATAACCCAGAATATGAGTGGGAAAGTCAGTAAGATTGCCGCATTATCGCTTACTGTAACCTTTTATCCGTAACGACCGATCTGCTGCTGTCTCGCTGTTTCAGTTACTCATCCCTCAGGACCGATATTCTACTCTGTATTATCGGTCTTATTTACTTCCTTCTATTAGTTCAACTTCAAGCAGTAAATTAAATGACTGATTGCTTACACTGAAATAGTGGTTTTGTCTTATGTGTCTGTATTTCTTATACGAGCTAGTTCTTGTACATGTTGAGAGAGGGGACTTAGTGAAGCAGCTAAATGCATCAGGTCAGAAAACTGCTCAGGCTGTATTAACGTTAGGCATATAGAGAAAGAGCTTTGTGGTTGCATTGATGGAAGTTTTCATTACTGGTGTTCGCCATATATTGGATTGGAGGCTGGGGCCTGTACAATATGTTTAACAGGAGCCATAGATGTGAGGCGTAGCAACAGTTATCTGTGACTGTGTGTGAAGCAGTTCATATGCTGTATGGGTTATTATTCAATAATACATTGCCTTGTTACAGGACATCTTACTTGTGGTATTCGCATGTTTCAAAGTTGTATGTTTGTTATGTACAGTAGCTGTAAATTTCAGCATCAGACTCCTTAGGGAAGCCTTAAATGTTCAAATGTGCACTTTCAGAGATGCATGTATGTTACAAATGTATGTAGGCTGTAATCTCCAGAGGTACAAAGCACCTTTACTGTGCAATTTTGAGGTTGGCTTCAGTATTACCATTTTATGCAACATTATACTGTATTTGAGATCCACTACATGTCAGAGTGTAATAATGTGCATTCATTTGACAGCTGCAGTTTCTAGTTTGTTATAGAGGCTACAACAGCTGTCAGTAATATACATGCATAAATTAGGTTGTACAAATACAAACTGAAGACTTAGGTTTGTGCTTTCCTCAATATGAACAGCGACCTAACTGAAAAATAAGGCAGGGTCACAGGCATAATGTATTGAGCAGAAGATGCATTGATTCCACAAACTGCACAGACATTCATAGTTTGACTTTATTCTTGACTACTGAAGCCTGATGGATGTGCCTTGACAGATATGGAATGATAGCTGAGAGTTAATAGATATTTTTAAATACATTTTATTAATTAGTGATTATGACCTCGGTTGGGATTTGCAATGGGAATAGGAGTTGTACAGCTAGCTAGCTAACAGCTCTAACATTTATGCCATCTGCTGCTGGGTCTCAGGCATAACAGTGATGTTCACAATACCAGAATTCAAACATGATAAATCCCCTGATGTCTACAGGCAGTTTGAGCACTGGCTGCAAGATGTGCATCTGTTCTATGCAAACACATTGAGCCTATGATAAAGGTAAGTTAGCAGGCTGTTGACTATCTAGCTTTAGGGACTGAACATCATGATGATTTTTGTCAACACATAAAGATAATGAATTTAGTTTATCCCACAGTATGTCAATTAGTTGGCATAAAAACTCAGCTGCCAAGGTCTGTGTTCAGCTGAACCTGTGGTTTTACTGCAGGTATGATGTTCCTGTTCATTCTAAACAATTTTCATTAAGCAACAGGCTGCTGCATACTGAGATAGTATGTTGTACTGACCTCACATATATACAGGATTGTATACTGTACGCTTTGGCATTTGAGATACTTGTTTGTCTGTTGCCTTAGGTTGTACATCCGCTCTGCCTAATGGACATGCAGCCTTTCAGTGTTGCCACCAGTGTGGAGGATACCTCTGTCTGCAGTGACAATGGTGTACACATAACAAGGGGACAGCACAGTACATTAACATGATCATCACTACAACATTTCAGACTCAAAAACCCTTGGAGCATTGAGGAAAAAAAAGACACATGGGAAGAATTTCCACAGGATTAAATGGCTTCCTTTTATCATAAGCATTTAAGTTTGTCCAACGTAAACTTGTTTACTGAGTTGACTAGCAGAGGGAGCACCAGCCTACAGCCCTTTTTTCCTTGTAGTCTACCATGCAGGCACTGACCAGGCTTAGCCCTGCCTAGAGTGGTATGGCCATAGGTCACTGAGGAGAAGCGGGACCCAGGAGACTGGCAGTAATGGAGTGTTCAACATCAGACAATGGTGGACCATCAGATAGGGAAAAGAACCAGTGGCTTTGGGAGAAACTGGACAGCACTGGTCGTGGAGAAACAGTCTGGGAAAAAAAACTCAGTAAACAGAGGCTGTGTCCTACCACTCCAGTGAAAAGAGACAAAAAAACTCCTCTACTAGAAGACAAAAACAGCCAGATGACAACAACTGACATGCTTCATTGTGCATGCTAGCATAACATGCACAAAGCTGAAAAATATAAAGGGGACCACTACAGCAAAACACAAAAGGCACAGGCAAGAGCAAAATTGGGCAGTAGAAAACAATACCAGAAAAGTGTCCACACAAGCAAGTTGACAAGGGCTCAGCAGAGGCAGAGGCAGGGACAGAAGCCAGGTCAGCAACAGGCATGCTCAGTACAGGATCAGGAACACAGCAGGAAAGTCCTTACAGAAAGAAACCAAAGATAGGCAGGTAGCTCTCTTGGTAGAAAGGTAGGAAGGTACTTCTGGGTTCATTTAAGGCTTCCCTAAGGGTGAACTTCTGGGTTCACCCTCTCATTCTCTCCAGAGAGAGAGTGGGTGAATTCTCTCCAGAAAATGAGAGGGTGAACACCCAGAAGTTCCTATCATAATAAGAGCCTCTGGCAGGAAGTCAGGGGCAGAACATGATAAATGCTGAAACAAAGCCATTTGATCATGTGGAAATTCTTTTCATGAGTTTTCATGTTCATTCAAAGAGTTATTTTATTGAGTGATACACAAAATATAAACATTCCAATTTTATCAAAAGCACTTTAGATGCACTTAGACCATCTTTTTAAAATTAGCCAAAAGTAGTCATTGATGCAAAACACTAGTAGCAGAGAATGTACTGTAAGTAACACTCACCATTTAGAATCTAAATGGAAGAGTGACAAGAAAAGAATTCACCAACAGGAAAACATAAAATATAGGTGTGAGCCAGCATATAGAACAAGTGGCAGTCACTGTCCAGGTGTGTGTGTTTAAATGAATATCATTTCTTTCGATAACTACAAACTGAAGTGGAGACGAGGCAGACTGGGGGGAGTCGAACGGAGGCTCGAGCGCTTGGTTAGCAGCGGCAGGCTAGCCCTCCCCGCTATACTGTTCGCAAATGTCCAGTCCAGTCTATGAACTGGATGAACTCCACGCTCGGATTACCTCGCAGAAGGACATACAGGGCTGCTCCCTGCTGTGTTTTTGTGAAACATGGCTGGGAAAGGAGACTCCCAATGAGGGTATAACTCTGGATGGTTACTCTGTGTTCAGACAGGACTGCAGCGCCGCTGAAAGTGGCAAGACCTGCGGAGGAGGAATGGCCGCCTTTGTCAAACAGTCCTGGTGCACAGACTGTAAGATTACCTCCAAATTCTGTTCTGAAGATGTGGAATATTTAACACTAAAGCTAAGGCCATTTTATTTACCTAGAGAGCCACAATGTATCATTGTGAGTATTTCCCCTCCCCTCCTGCTCTCCTCTCCTCTCCTCCCCTCCCCTCTCCTCTCTCTCCCTGTGCTTCTATATGCCACCATTACACATTACTAACTTTGTGTCTCCTCTCTCCCGTAGTGTGTCCTCTCTCTCTCCCTGTACTTTTCTGCAGGTTGCCCTGGCCCTGGAGCTCTATGTTCCTGATGAGCAGTCCCCAGCCACATCGACCTGATCAGTGTTTGTTGGTTGTGTCTTGTTGCTTTTCTTCTTTTGTCTCTCCTCTATCCACTCACCCCAACCGGTCGAGGCAGAAGGCCGCCCACCAAGAGCCGGGGTCTGTCGGAGGTTTCTTCCTTTAAAGGGAGTTTTTCCTCCCCACTGTCGCCAAGTGCTTGCTCAAGGGGGATTTGTTGGGTTTTCCCTATGTAATAATATTGATAACAGTAAGGTTTAGACCTTACTTTGTAAAGTGTCCTGAGATGACTTTTGTTGTGATTTGGCACTATAGAAATAAAATTTGATTTGAATTTTTGATTTGATTTGAGTATAGTATAGTGTAGTGAGGCTGCACTAAAGGAACTGTACAGAATGATTAATGAGCACACATATCCTGATGCTGCTTTTATTATTCTGGGGGATTTTAACCACTGCAATCTCAGGAAAAGCATGCCGAAACTGTATCAGTTTGTAACCTTTTCTACTGGAGGAAACAAAACACTAGACCAGTGTTACAGTTACATCAGAAATGCTTTCTCAACTGAACCTAAGCCTCATTTTGGTCAATCTGACCACCTAGCAGTCTGGCTCAAACCTGCTTACACCAAACAACTCAGGGCAAAACCAGTCTCAGTGAAAACTGTTAACACCTGGAACGACTGCGCACAGGCCAGCCTGCAGGGCTGTCTAGAGGCCACAGACTGGAGCATCTTCAAAAGGGGCAACAGGCGACATCCATGAATATGCAGAGACTGTGAATGACTACATTAGCTGGTGCATATCCATATGCGCACCAACTAGAACAGTGCATGTTTTCCCGAACCAAAAACCATGGTTTAATAGGGATAGACCCCCTACAGTTCATCTACTGGGCAAACAGGTCAGTGGATGATGCAGTGAACATGGCACTGCATTACAGGCTCCAACACCTTGACTCCCCAGGGACCTTATGCACGGGCCCTCTTTGTGGACTTCAGCTTGGCATTGAACACCATCATCCCGGACATCCTCCACTCCAAACTGACCCAGCTCACTGTGCCTGCCCCCACCTGTCAGTGGATTACGAGCTTTCTGGCAGACAGGGAGCAGCAGGTGAGGTTGGGGAAAACCACATCCAGCAACCGGACAATAAGCACAGGTGGCCCCCAGGGATGTGTGCTCTCCCCT